ATGTGATAGTTTTGATAATTGCCCTCTATTAATCTACAATGCTAGCTTTTCATTTTTCTTAGGTTCGAAATGATTCTTTTGATAAATTTGGAGTGGGTTTTACGTCACAAAATTGTATATATATTTTCTTCAAACATAGAAGCTAAAATATGAAAATTTCAAGATTTGATACGACAAAAAAGATATGTCATATGTGTAAAGACATAAAGTTAAAGAAAATGCTAGTAAAACTGATTTATTAAAAGAACATAAATTTAAAGACAATAATCTCAAACGTGAATTATTTGATTTCTAAATTAATGCAAAGAAAAAACGCAAGCATCGGAAAGCATTCATTTTATGTAACTTATGTTGATATATTATTACTATCAAATTTTTTGTCATCTACTACTATACATCATTTAGATTTAGAAAATCTTTTCAATATGTTATCATATTATAAATGATGACACAATATTCTAAAACAATTAAAAACATGACGAACAACTCTTAAAACGATTCCCCAACCGATAATATATCATACCATAAAGATCAATAGACAGTGTTCTACATGTATTATGCTCATGTTCATTTTCTATACTTTTGACACACAAGACTATAAAATCGGTTTAGAGTAGCGTCTAGCGATAAAATCGGTTTTAGGTCATGTTTTTGTTCAGGTTGGGTTACATTATTTTAGTGTATGATTTTGTTTAAGAGTCGGTTTTCATTTTTGGATCGTGATTTTAATTAGTTTGAACATAAAACAATATTTAAAAAATCGGTCTGATTATGAGCAATAAACTTTGATTATGTATTACAATAGAAAAAAGTCTATGGGTGCAAATGGTTACACTTTTAGAAGAACAAAACTTGGTGGAATTGAGCATTTCTCCAAAGTATTACCATTTAACTTAAATAAAAAATTAGTGGAATTGAGCATTCCTCTAAAAATTCACCATTTAAGTTGAAAAGTGTAAAACAATTATTTAACTTATTCCACCAACGGAAATTGAAAAACTGAATAAATTTGGTGAAAAACATTCATTTACAAAATATTAGAGTACTTAGTGGAACAATTTTTTGGTTTTAATTCTCTTATTCCACTCATCAATTTTTTCACCAATACAATTCCATTTGTTCCACTAAACCATTTGCACCCTAAATGTTGTGTGGTTAGCGTAATTGAAAGTTTTTTTTAAGGCGGAAACTAATTTATCTATCACCCAATAATTAAAAACCAACAAAAAAGATAAAGCTAGGAAAACAATACATTTAATGTTGAATTAGTAGGAATGTCAAATACGACATGAATTCAAATAATTATTATTGTCTAAAGCATTAGATCTGGATGCATAACAAAGATTTCAACTTGAACAATTTCTTTCTTTTTTTAGAGAGGCTTAGGCCCAAGTGAGCCTAAAGACAGCAACCATAATCGAGGCCCAGTAGATGCCCTTTCCAGCAACCAACCCAATGGCAGTGTTCTTGGCCGGAGCTGGTGCTGGAGCCGCCAGAGAAGTAGGCGGTTTTGCTGACGGAGTTGGTGGAACAGCACCGGGGCCGGTTTTCGGCATGGGTGGGTGGTTAGGTGACTCAACCACGACGATCAATTTCTCACCCTTACCGCAATTACCGGTCGAAGCTCCACTAACGAAGTAGTGTGGACCTGAGACATCAAGTTTCACTTTGATGTTTCCATCTTTGTATTCTTTCAATGGCTTAGTTATGTTACAGCTTTCGTAGTTCTCTTTTGTCACTTGTAACACCGAATCGTTCTTGTTATCGTAGTAAAAAACTATCACATGCAAAAAAAAATTTCTTAGTTTATAATAATATTTTATACACCTGCATTAATTTGTATACAGAGAACAAATTATATTCGTCGTGACCAAAAGCAAAACAAAAAACAAACAAATATACTTGTTTAGCTTTTTTCATTATTTTATTGTAATTTACAATGTTTGACTGGGAGATAGTGACACAACAATATTAATACACTCAAAAGTATTTTTTCTATTTGGTTAGAGTTTAATTTACTTGAATATATATAATTAATTAATCTCTATTATTTATGGGATAATTACAAAAATGCTATTTTTTGTGTGTACATTTTCAAGAATGTCACTTAGAGGTATCTATTTGCAAAAATGCCACTAATTATAGATTTATAAAGCCTATATCTTAAAATTCTAAACCCTAAAAAATGTTTTGACCCCTAAAACCCTCATAACTAAACCCTAATAGAACATAATTAACCCAAACATAAATGATATAAAGAAAAAATAATTTTGAAAAAATGGTATTTTTGTAAAGATTTCAAAAGTGTGACATTTTTGTAAACTGATATTTGAAAAGTGGCATTTTTTGAAATTTCTCATTATTTATTATTTGTTTATGTGTGTACACATAGAATTAGCCTGACACAAATGTGATATCGATCTAAAACAAGAAATCACCAAAACACATATTTCCGATGTGAATCTGAATCAAATTTTAAAACATAAATAATTTGAGAAAATCTGGAAAGGTTTCATATGAATGAATTATGTAAATTCGATTCATCAGACTTAAGTTGAGCTAACACTCAAATTCAATTTCAAATACACTCTGAATCTGAGTACTTTGACTTATCATCATAAGTGTAAACATTGTTTTTCGTCTCTAACCTCAAATAATCAAAATCCAAACCCCAAAATCCTAATTGACAGTGATTCCGAAAAACTAATGACAAATTATGGTATCACAAAAAAGAAAATAAAAATATATAACAATAAGTAAAAGATTTTTTTTTAAACAAGATCAATAAGAAAAAGATTGATAAAAATCAAAGAAAGAATGAGATCTTACGAAGAATGTCTCCGACTTGGAACCGGACTGACTCAGCCCAATGGTTGAGAGTGTTGTTAGAAGGTTCTGGAACCTTCCATGCATCCAATGATCCTCCCACAACAATGATTCTAGCCTCACTGATGTGGTTCAGTGTCGTAAATAAGACGAATATTATAGGCAAAATGGAAATCAAAGAAGCCATTTTTTTTCTTAAGGCCAACTCTCAAATATTATTTTTCTCTTTGAAGGAGAAAAAGCCTGACTGTTATGGTTTGGAACTGAATCGGTTTTATAAAAAGTTCGGAAATGAGGTTCGAAGGATCCGAACCAGATTTGGTGTCAAATTTGGTCTTGTGGATATGCAGTGTAATCTTCCCAATTAGCCAGCCAAGTATTTGGTATTTGTTGGATTATATTCTTTTTAAGGAAAAAAATTCTCTAATTCATAATTTGAAGACAAATGAAAAATAAAATGGTAGATTTTTATTTCTTTGTCCTTTTATTGCAGTATTTTTCTGTTTTGGAATTGAATCATGTTTTCAATACAAGATAATATGTTAACATATAGAGCAAACGAACAATTAAACTTGAAACTACTCAGAAACTAAAACCGTAACTTTTTTAATAAATAAAACTTTTTTAATCTATATATATTAGCAAACCCAAACAAATGAATATTTTTATTGTGCCTTCTCGAAAAACTGTCTTTTATTTATAGGTTTATTATGGGGTTGACTTTTTCGATAAAACCGCATTATGATTATTTTCAAGCGTTGCGTCTTTTCGAAAAAATCCGCTTTATGGTTATTTGCAAGAGTTGCATCTTTTCGTTAAAATCGCTTTTGTCAAAAGTTGTGTCATTTCGTTGTAACTGTTTTGTCAAGAGTTGTGTCTTTTCATTATAACTGTTTTGTCAAAAGTTGCGTCTTTTTCGAAAATAACCATTAAGTAGTTATTTTTCGAAGTAACCGCTTTATGGTTATCGCTACAAGTTGTGTCTATTCAAAAAAATCGTTTCTATGTTTTAGTTTTTCTTTTTTTTTTTAGAAAAATCGCATTATGTTTATTTTGAAGGGTTGCATCTTCTCGGAGAAATCGCTTTATGATTATTTGCAAGAGCTGCATCATTTCGTTAAAACCGATTTTGTCAAGAGTTGCGTCTTTTCGTTGTAACCGTTCTGTCAAGAGTTGTGTCTTTTCAAAAATAACCGTTAAGTAGTTATTTTTCGAAGTCACCGCTTTATGGTTATCGTTAAAAGTTGTATCTATTCAGAAAAATAGTTTAAC